GACACAGTCAAAATTACAGCATTTTCCCTTCCTTCCATTTTAACCACTTGCCCCCTTCCCTCCCATGGGCAGCCCAGACTTTTCTGTTAATCACATATCTCAAAGTTTTAAGTTGTATACAGCAAAGCAACACAGAGAAGGGAACGTAAGAATGTGCCCGTACTGGTTATATTCTTTTTCCTGGAAAATGTGAACTGAATGAAAAACATTCTTTGGAGAAGATCCCTGCCCCTCCAGGGTGGACAGAGGAGATGACTTCATAAGGGCTGTTCTCCTTCTAATTTGTCTGAGTTTCAGGCCACACAAACTATATATTTTTTCAGTGCGCTGAGGTCTGTTGGGATGCTGGCATTTCCTCCTCCTCATTTACATGGTCTTCCCATAATCCAGCACTGACACAAGCTGAACTGCACAAGGAATCCCTGCCAACACCACTCGGGGCTTGCTTACAGAAGACCTCTGGAGAGCGATGGGAGGTGCTCCCTGCCCTTCTCCTCTGCCTATGAAAGGGCTGAGTGTGCTACTTCTGCAGCACTGAGCATTCCCACCAGCTCATAAATCAGGTGACCAGACTCCATCCCAATCTCTGATCCACTGCAGAAAGGGCCCATGCTCTGCCCTTACAGCACACATGGGGCGAAGAGCTGTATTTCATCAACTGAAGTCTTAATATCAGAGGAGAGTCGTTACCTCCTGGAAAAAAAAAAATTGTAGCCAGAGTCTTACTGGTTCTGCAGCTTGGTTTCCCCATGTTTACACCAAATGACTTGTTGAACTTCATTATATACAAAGTATTTCCATAGATCAGAGGCAGGGAGACCTGTGCAGCTAACATAAAATAAATTACCACCCCGTGATAAATGGTTCTATTAGCAATCCAGATTGTTAAACTCAGATACAACAGGATGAAGGGAGCACTGCCCCATTCATTCTCCCTGCGGCAGATACTGAGTTGTAAATAGGTTATTTTGTGTGTAAATAACACATTAAAACTCAGCATTAGCCGTGTCTTTTGATAGAGAGGAAATTGTTCCAAATAAATAATCTCGGACAGGAATGTAAAATAAGCCAGATTTAATAGTGCATGCCTGCTGCAGCCGTGTTAAACATGACTAAAATGATAAACCCCAGAATATACTAATAGTAAACTATGCTCTGACATCAAAGTAATGAGGCTGTATTTTTACCCAGCTTTAGAAATGCTAAAATTAGTCTTGACAGAGCCAGACATCAGAAAAATGTTTCAAACATAAACACCATCAATTTGGGAACTTGGTGTTTGTGTCATGCTGGGGTGGGGTGGAGAGGGAAAGGTGCATTCTGGGCCTTGTTAAAGTCAGGCAGTTAGCATTTAGGAGAATTTGTATTTAATTTTTATTACACGATGAGAAACCCATCTTCCTAAATATCTCTGCCTTTGAAAGAGTGGCTCATTTAAATTTCTCCTCCAGCCACGTGCCTGGGCTTCCTCGTGTGTGCTGATGAGGAGGATGTGGCAGCGCTGGCCTGGGGGACCCAACCCAGTCTCGCTCACGTGCTGCTCTGCTCCAGAGCCTCTTACCCTACACAGCAATTCCCACTTTTGCACTCAGCAAAAGCCTTTTCTAAACATGAGGTGCTATGAGTTGCCCTTCCAGAAGTGGAGGCACTGAGAGCGAAAGGCTCTTCTGCAGATCTAGATGTCTATAGGTCGTACATACTGTCACTAAAACCAGCTTCCATCTCTGTCACGCACACGCACCTATTGAAACAGAAGTGAGGAGCTTTGACTCATTGGCCGGCAATGAGTTATAGAAAAATAGAAAATTAGGAGACTTCCCTGATGTCATTTCTTTGAGACCAATTTCTGAATATCTGATCAATGAGTTACTATAACAAAAAGGTCACAGAAAATCTCTAAAATGGCAGCTTCAGTAGACTAAAAATACGAGACACAGACTGTTCGTATGAAAGGACTCTTCTCCGCTGACAACATCAATGATACCAATCTCTTTCACTACAGCTATAACTTGATTTGTTCAAGGCTGCAAACATTTGGGACAAATATCCAAAGCAAGAGAACTAGAAAAGGAGACTACGCATTTTATTACCTTATAATAATAATATAGTCTAAATAATAATATAATAAAATAACTATTCTTCAATTATTTAACTAATATTCAGTTTATTGCTTCAATTACCTTAATTATAAATAAAACCTTATGAATCTATTAATTTCTATGAAGGAAGAAGAAAACCTTATGATCTGAGAAACATGCTATGTTGGCACTCCATCTGTGTGACTCAGTAGAATAAAGGAGAAGAAATGTGTTGCAAATTACATTTGTTTGGCTCTGGAGAGCAGCTTGGTGATCTGCAGCACTAGCTGCGCCTTTCTGCCACTTTCTCACATGCTAGTACAAAGAGTAAAACCTCTACAATAAATAAAATCAAGAGTTTGTCTTGGATGAGAATAAAGACTTGTTCGTATGGCCCCAAAGCAGGGTGGGGAGCTCAGAGGCCCTCCCTTTAATGCTGTTCCCCTCCTCAAGCTGAACATTGTAATTAATCTCCATGCCTCGTTTCCTTTCTTCTGTAAGAATATGAGCATAAATATGTAGATTTCTGGCCTGTTATGAGTAATTACACTACTTTAGTGAAGCAAATATGTTATATTAGCATGAATACCAAGTAAGTACAGTCTCATCGCTACCCAGCCTTTTTGTTATCGTCTGCTAAATCACACCTTGCAATTAACTGATGTTATAAGAGGACTTTGTATTCATTTTTCTACTTATAAGCACATGCATTGCGCTGCTCCCTTTCAGGAGCATGTATTACGTCTAGCCAGAATTCAAAGGAAAGCCCTCCAAACCACAAGAGCACGTGCATCACCTGCAGAGTCCAGGGGCCAGCATCCGATCACACCCTGCTTCACTCCTAGCCATTTTAGGTCATTTATGAGCACTTTTCTTCACAGCATGACATAGATTTCGCTCTTTACATCTCATTACAGAATGCTTTCATCACGAATCTCCTGACATCTTCAAACAATCCTCCACTTACTTCTCCACTTCCTCTTAATAAAAGGAGAAATATTGAGCCCATAAATCATTCTTTCCAAAGGCAAGAGCACACTGCCAACGGAACATATAATACTGGATGCTTAAAAACCAATCAAGTCTCTGGGGGTGCCAAATGGGCCAAGGGATACTCCACCTCAGGGGCATCCTCATTTCCATCGCATCTCTGGAAAAATGGTGTCTGCTTCCTTGGTGGAGACACTCCCAAGGCAAGTTCCAAGTGGGGAGAAAGTGTTTATTCACAACAGCACATCTGTGGGTTTTGAATTTTAGCACATGTCTGGACTTTGTTGGCGCCAATCAGCCCTTTGGATCTGCCAGTCACTGAGACATTACCTCGAGTAGGCTGCCTCTGTGGTTCCTACAGCTTGTGCTTCTTCAACAGGGACCAAAATCTGCTAAGGGATGGCAAACTTCTGCATGTTGCTGCCTCTGCCTTTCCTCTGCTTCAGCCACCCGCTCAACCTTCCTTTTTGCCACTTTGCATAGTCCTCGCCAGGAAGGTAGCTCCAACCCATTCAGCAGCATGAAACTGTGTTTCTTTCCAAACAACTCTGTGTAAATGATTTTTCTAGTTCTTTTTAAGAAAAATTTTCCTTTGGCTAACAAAAGCTAACAAAGTTTATCACACACATGAACGAGTCTGATAGGTTATAATCTAGCAGCTGCTACCTTATTCTGTAAATCTAAGTCTTCCCAGGTCAATGTGGAAATGAAAACTGGATAACAAACGTGCTGAAAAGGAAGGATAGATAAAGCAGATTTAAGCAATTTGGGCTGGGAACTATCTTCAAAACTCAGCTGAGCTGTGTAAGAAACAGAGGAGCCTGCAGAGGAGTCGTGCTGCTCTCCTGGGGTGATGAGAAACCACCCTGCAGTGAAGGAAGGGGAGGGGAAGGGTTCATTTTGAGGTAGACTCTGACTAGCAATAAGGTATATTTTAAAGACAAAAAAAAAAAGCTGCCTGCAAAGTTTACACAGCTGGGATGTCTCTTGTCACATCCGAGCTGTTGTAACCCCTTCTAAGTGTGCCTCCTTACGCCCTGTCCAGGCAGGACGCCCTGTCCCAGTCCTTAGCAGGGGCAGTGTGGTGCCCCCCTGGCACAGGCAGCCTGGCCCACAGCTGAAGCCACCATGAAGGGCCCTGGCACCAGTTTGGAGATCCACCAGTGCATGTGTTCCAACAAGGCAAGAGTGTTTGTGGGCTGTATTTTGCAGGCTGTAGCAGGCGAGAGGAGGCAGGACCAACGTGCCTGCACACCCCTCTGCACACTGGTGTTATACCTGCCGAAAACATCCCCATGCCCATGGGTGTCCATGAGAGATTCTCAACTTCAACACCAGCAGGACCAAAAACACCATCAGAAAAAGAGATCGGGACCTGAGCTATTTCTGACATGAACAGGCACAAACGGTGGGGTTTCTTTGTGAACCTTCTTACACTGGGGGCTGGCCAGTCCCAAATTCCTCCCTAACCATGAAATCCCATCAGCAATGGCTGAAGACGGTGCAGTCTGTTTAGCTCATTAGCAGGATGACAGGCGGCACAGGGCACCCCTCCCCAACCACGATGACAGGGCGCTCCCCCAGCTCCATCCAGCCGCCCTTCACCTCCTCCATGGAGGAGCAGCAGGCACCCTGCTGCCTACACCACACGGAGATGGGGATGCCTCAACTCTCTGATGGCCGCCTCTCACCACCCGTCCTCTCCCTCACCCCAGTCCAGTTCTCTAGGAGCGGCGGTGACTTGCCCACAGTGCAGTGACATTTGGATGCCACGCGGTGACACAGCTTCCCCTTCCTGTGACCTCCCACGGCTGAGAACCCCAATAAACTCAGCGTGTTCACAGGAGGACAGATGCCACCGTACTTATTAAATTCTTACAGTCTAATGAAAAACACCCCTGCTGCTTTCAAAGTGTGGAAAACATAAAGTACCTCCTTGTGCCACTGCTGCTCCTGCAGCTGCTAAAGGAGTGGGTTTCTTCCCCGTCTCCGTAAAGCCATTCCCCTCCAGAACTGCACCTTTCCCTTCTTTTTTCCCAGCAGCAGTTGAAGCAGAAGTTTCCATCTTAGGCGTGCATCTTCCAGCTCAGCAACCCTACAGGACATAAAACAAAACCAGATTCTGGTCACCACTCACAAAACAGGCAAAATCAGCTCCACGAGGAAGCAGCCGACGGTTCGGCAGAGCTCAAAGGTGAACAGTGAGCAGCAGAGATTTCCTGCCTTTCTACGTCTAGCGGCGCAGCCAGTACGGGCAGAAAGGGCACAGCCCTGCAAAGGGATGGGTATTCTCACATCCTGCTGGCTTTAGGCAGTTGAAAACATAAAAGGATCAGGACCAAAATACATTTTTTCCCAACTTAAACTTGGGCTGTATAACAAAAGGTTACAAAGGGTTTTAAGGGATTAAAGGACAGGTGAGACACATAAATAAAACCAATGTGTCCATCTTATACATGACCTAGCCCATCATAACAAAAACACTGAGTCAGCTACAAACTTTCAATACAAATACATTTAAGGTGGGAATGATTTTTTCCCCAGTTAGTGCTTATTCTATGCACTGGTTCTGAAACAGTGCTCTGACCAGAACATTTCAATAGTGAATATCGATAAGTCTCAGCAGGTCTGCCAGAGTCCATCCAGCTCTCACTGGTAAGGTCTAACATCCACCAATTCCTGACTCTCCCAAGCAAGTTCTTCTGTCCTGACTGAAGAAGATTTTCACATCTGAAAATAAGCTACAGCTTTAACCCCATTACAAATGGTGAATTAAGTGCCAGTGAAAGCTCCACAAAAGAAGAAGATATCAAAGCACAAATAACCTGAGGTTTGTTTATTTTTAAATTAGATCCATGAAAAACAACAGCTCCTGAACTTTTTGTTAGCTTGATTGTTTGTTCTGCACAATTCAAATGTGTCTCATCTCCCAAAAGCCAACAAATGTGTGTCCCAAACTCAATCTAACGACGGGGCTTCTGTTAAATGAGAAGGTATGCTTCATTTCTGGCTGCAAATACTTTTGTTCACCCCGTTTTAACTTGTTTTATTTCAAATGTCTTCACGTGACTCCTGTTTTCACAGAACCCACACAGTAACCTGGCACCACTGGCCTCAGGCTGGTCTTGGGAAAACCCACTGCTAATTCCTCCTTTCCTTTCTAATTTTAATGCAGATCTGCAATTTTTCACATGCAAATTTTCAGATGCAATTTTTTTCAGCTCCTGAGATCCTCTGAAGCACACTATCTGTTTACCTTAATGGAACTAGTGGAATCAGCCAAAAAATGTCTGGGAAACCAGAAAACTGGTTTTTGTGTGCAGGTAGTTTTACTGCCATAGTGTCAGTTTAAACTTCCCTCCCTTCACTCTGGAGGATTAACTGACTCCTGAACATCTTGGATTAAAAAATTAACACTCCTAAAAACTTTACAGCACATAAAGATTTTTAGGAACTCCCATGTGTGATCTGTAAATTTTACCCTTTAGTTGTTCATGGTCCTGGCATGAGCATTTCATTTTGTGGTTGTTTTTTTTTTTTTTTTCCCCTCTTGCTATTTTGGTGGTTTTCAAGCAGTTTTGGGACTGTAACTTCAGGACAGAGAAACAGGAAAGCGAAGCCTCCCTTGCCCCACTACATGATGAGCTCCACGGCTTAGTACACAGCCCCGTGCTCCCAGACTCTCTCACACCCACCATTGGAGACCCTCCGTGTTGCACCACTGTTCAAGACAGGCTGTCCTAAACCCCTTCCTCCTCCACTCAATGGCTACTTTAAAACTTTCTTATAAATACAACGCCACCCTTGCTGGCACCCCAAAGGGACATAGCATGTGGTGGATGTCATCCTCCAGCATTGCTACCACCACCTGGGCTCCAGAAGGATGGTGGCCCACCGTGCAGCTGTGTGCTGCAGCCCCAGCAGCTTATCCCTGGAGCCTTCAGGCACGACACGCATTAATGGGACCACTAAGTGATGGATCCACGGTCACGATTTGCAGCTGTAAACAGCGAAGCTTGCATTGGAAATGACAGGACCCACAATTACAGGCTTTACTGATGACACAAGGCTCCAGTGAATACCGAGGTGGCCCCCCCACGAGGTCCTGCCCCAGCATGTGCTGGACTTGATGGCAAACATGGGATGGGTTCCTGGGGGCCAGGACTTTACAGAGGTTTAATCCAGAAATCAGGTTGGGTTACAGACCACGTATGAAATAAATACACTCAAACTGGAGGAGTATTTGACCTAGGTCTAACAGCCTGGGCTTCTGTTCGTTAAGCAAATAAACTTCAGAGGCTATATTACTAGCCCCCCACCTGTTTCTTCTTAGTCCTTCCTTTCAAGGCTTTGCACTTTTGTTTGAAACCAGACGCTGGCCCTCGTACCCCTCCCAGCCTCCCCCCTCCCCGGTACCCTGACCCTCGGGGCAGCCTCATGGCGCGGGAGCTTCGGAGCACAGCAGCCAGGGAGGGGAAGGAAGAAACTAGTCATAGAAATCCCTCTCCTGTGAAACACACAGGTTCCAAAGAGGTGCCTGAAGTGAGATCTCTGAATCCCTGTCATAGACACCTTAGTAGAGACATGGTTTTTCCAGGTGGGTCATTTATCCAGCTGGAATTTGAGAAGAGATCAGGCTCATATTTGAAAATCTGGCCTTTGTAGCCCTATGCTCTCTTTTTGGATGAATTATGAATTTAAAGAAAAAAAATAATAAAGTGTTTCTATTAAATGATTGTATTAAACAGGTAAATCCTTCTCAAATACTGAATAGGAAAAAAAAAACAAAACAAAACCACCAAAAAAAATTGCAACTACTCTAATCTTACAGGATTTAGAGTAATAAGTCTATAATTAATTTTGCTTTGTAAAGATGCTTGGGGCAGAGCAGGCTGGATGAGAGGCTCCGAGCTTTTCCCCAAGTCAGCAGCAACCAAAAGTCATTCTCCTTCCACAACCACCCACAACCAGAGCTGACCATCCTAGCCCAGGAGGACACAAGCATCCTCCCTGGCCAGATCCTGTCCTGCTCAGCACCTCTGCCCACAGACCTGGACAAAGACCACGGAGCGAAGGAGCACCAACATTGATTTCATATCCCATCTCCTGAGATTTCATGGACAATGGCTGAGTGTCAGTGAGCAGCAGACTGCCTCGCTGTGCTTTGGTATAGCGTGTGACCAGGAGACAGTGCTGGAGCTCTAGATATTTAGGCTCCCACCTTGGCTCTGCTACGGTCTCCTCTGCATCTCTGGGCAAAAAGCTTAACCTCTCTCACAGCCGGTTTCCACAGCCATAAAATAGGAAAGAGTACTTTGCCCTATTTGCAAAGTGCGTTGAGATCCTCCGAGGCACAAGGCTATGGACGTATTTTTATTACCAGTATAAGAAGATATATTGATGGAGGCAGTCAATCCACACCATCCAGGAGCACAATATTCATTTTTTTTAAGCAATACATAGTTTGCTTTCTGTTCAATGCTAAACTTTTTCTGCCGCTCTGTGCCACACAGAATTTATAAATTCAATGACAGATTAATCTTAGCGGCGAGCCATTTGGCATGAAAAAGGGTTTCACAGGGAGCCTGCTTTTTCCTGTAAAGAGCATGCATTTAGGAGTGACTATACGGAGAAAGACCCTGTGCACTTATTCAAGCATAAGTCTCTGCCCTCCGTCATTACTCAGAATTAGAAACCCAAAATGGATTACTCAGATTGTTCCTAAGGTTTGTAGCTTTCTCTGCAGGAGGAGGGTTGGGTAATTGATTTTGACACTAATACCAGCACTATTCATATGCCCTGTAATATAATTCTGCAGCGACACTAAAAAGGCAGCCATCTGAGATCTGAACAAGGAAAGTGCTATATGATTTGCCCTAGACAACCCCAGCTATTTTAACAGCTGCGTTGTATATTAAAAGGGAGAAATCCCAACAGAATTAAAAACAACAAAGTCACATTTGCCTTTGAGTGAAAACAAGAAGCCGTAAACTTTCCTAATAAAACAATCCCTCCCGCTAAGTGCTCAAGGAATGGTGGAAAGTGCTGTCCCAAAATGCCTGTCTCTTTTGGAGGGGCTGCCAGCAAACTTGGGAATAAACAGATACTCATCAGCCATACCGCCCGCACGCCCTTTTCTTGAAAAGGCGTTATTTCCTTCTCCAGGATTTTTCTTACAGCAGGAAACCCCCTTCTCCTGCCCTACACAGCACAGAAAACATAGATTTCTGCCCCCCAAGCTTTTCTGTGAAATGTGCATCACCAATTTTGGCCACCTCTCCTCAAAGACTAAGTACTAACCCAGGACTGAGCCTCTCTGGTAGAGGGCAGGTGCTGCCAGTGACGTTGTGACACAGGTCTAATCCTCCAGAAGCCACCGCAGTCACTGAATGCCTCCTTCATGCCTGGCAAGCCCCATGGGGCAGCAGAAAGGGGTTTCCAAAGGAAGCTTCTGGCATCTCAAAATATTCACAGAAGCAGAATGGCTCTCTCATACTGATATCTATCTACTCCTTCATTTTAAGTCTATCTCTACCTGATGTCCTCACGCACAGCCCCAGCAATACCAGAGAAGAGCCATCACCCCCAAGGGGACATGATGGAGGTGTGTTGGCTACTGACACCAGCACCACCTCCACAGCAGCATGGCCAGGATGAAGCCCCCCTGCTGCTGCCTCCTGACATGACCAAGGGGAGCTGGGATAACCAAGGGGAACCTTCGCACAGCTCTCACCAGGTTTGTCCTCATGCACCAGCAGGGAGATACTTTATCCCTTCTGCCACATCACCTCACCTGTAGGGACAATATCATGTTTGAGAACTTCTCCTAGCATGCCATTTTAGTTAAGATAAACAAAGAGATATTCCCACCATCTCTTCTTTTGCAGTGGACTGTGTCACACAGCTAAAGGCTTCTGAATACACGGTCTGCTTATGAAATTCTGTGTGAGCCAACTGGTTTGAACATTGGCTTAATACAGTGGTTTCTGTGATCCTTTTCAGTCTCCCAGGGTTTGAGCCAAATTATATTCTCAATTACACGGAAGTAGCAGCAGTTAACCCAGTGAAGTCATAGGGTCTGTACCACAGCAAAAC